CAAAAAATGTAAAAAAAAAAAAAAAAACCCAACAAAATATTCATTAAATCAATTCAGTTTCCCTAATTCACAAAAGGCAGAACTGACCCAATTTCTCCAACAAGATGACATTACTCCCATGTGTGCAACAACAATACTTGTGGACCACGTCCTAAACCTATAGATACAGTGAGCTGGTAAATTTTATTTGTGATTATGGTTTTGGAGGACTCTGAGGATAGTCCTGCAGGTCAAGGAGCCACTTCACCAGCAATTTTTACTATGTTCAAAGAGCAAAAATTGCTAAGATCACTTCTTAACATGGTTCATGTGCATTAAAAACATACAAAACCTACAGGCATTCCTGTCCCATGTAAAAGAACAAAAGGTAAGACATTGAGGCTGAAGCTACTAAAAAAAAAAAAAGTAAGATTTCAAGGAATGGTAGGTCAGCATGAAATTTTGTGAAATACAAAGAAAACAGGAATAGAGATAATGACTAATATAATGTTGGCTAAGCAGCACTGCTTTGGGACTGACTTCTGAACTTCTGTATTTTAGACAGTTTAGCTCTTCAGTTTAAAACAAAGAAATATAACAAACCATATTAAAGCTTCAGAACTTCTTTTTTTTGTGTGTGCATCCTAATTACAATCAGCCAGCTTCTAGGAGCTCAGATCCAGCTCTGAACCAGCTGGGCTCATCTGTCCTAGGACAAGCTTACGGGAGTTGCCATTAGCATCAGATTACAGATTATGAAAATTCTCATTTTCAGTGAGGAAGCAGTATGTTTAATAAACACAGACTCAGAATTCAGTATTATTTTTAAACATTAGGCTGATACTGAAAAGATTTAGCCATCCACTTGAGTTTCAGCAGGTTACTTGATTATTTTCAGCTAATGCACTAAACTCCTACTGACAGGAATTCAGGAACCTATGCACATTATTGCTTCTGATTTCAGCTTAGACTGTCCAATTAATTAGTTTTGTGCTACTGAATATAATTATTTCACTAAGTTGTTTTATTTTCCGGTATCTTGCACTTGGCTTACTGAAATAATCTTCTAAAATCTAGAGTAGTTAGAACCACAGGCAAATATGAAATTTATAGAACCCATTAAAACTTCTCATCCCTCTAATACTAAAGCAAAGAAGTATTTCTATTGTCTTCTTTACCATCTGCTTTTGGGGAACTGCTTGACGGAAACTAAGCACTTAGAAGGAACCACTTTATTTATGATTTTTAGTATGTGCTAAATTAAAAAAACCCAAACCTTAATTGTGCATTTATTTGCTTTTCTGGAACTGGATGGGCAGAGTGTAACTGCTGCAGTGGCACTAAGTAACAACATTGTGCTCAGCAAAACATTGCGCCCTGATCTGTCAGGAGAAAGACTGGGTGAAAAGCTTGCTGTAAGTTCTGAAGAAAATGACCAACCACCTCAGCAGTTCTGTGCTCTAATGTCAGCATCCAACTGGCATGTATTTAATACAGAATCATAGAATCATAGAATAGTTAGGGTTGGAAAGGACCTTGAGATCATCAACTTCCAACCCCCCCATATGTAGTTAGGTTGAGAAGATCCAGTATAAAAACCACCATCAGTAACTTGTATAACAATTAATTCAGCTCCTAAGTACTTCAAAAATAGGAAAATACTATTTTAAACGTATGACTTCACATCAAAGACACATTACTGTATAAAAGATTACACAATGCTGTTTAATTCTCCACAGTCAGTGCAATCTCAAAATATAGTTTTCTGTTTTCTAAAAGTTCCAGAGAATATCAGAAATTCTAAACATAAAGTTTGGAGGCGTCATCAATCAAGCATTATAAAATCTTAATAAAAACTAAGTAAATACATTAAGTCTACTGGTCCTTAAGAGAAAAAATAAAGTATAATCAAATCTCTCCCAATTCCAATAATGTTTTTCTGATTCTCATTACAATTCACTGCAAAACTCAACTGTCCTTTTAAATATTGTAAGTCCTTTCAAACCAGTTGGAAGCCTTTCGCTTGTCCCATTTATGTAACACAGAAGTGAATACACAAGCTAATTTGAAGTATATAGCTCAAGCACTGCTTCCTTCAAGATCATCTCATGTAAGACCTTAAATGACATCATATAAAAAAACGTCAACAGGTAAGGCTCCACATTACTAACATAAGCTGTATGTTGATAACTAGAAGCAGAGGTGAAAAGCTGAGTTTAATGATTAAATAACAAAGCACCAAGTTCCTTACACTCATTCCTTATTCCTTATGCTGCCTGGATATTAACATCCAAGACAGATACCTGGCAATTCTGGGAATAAGCACTGGAAATCAAGTTGTTTGCTGTTCACCTGGCTACAGACATTATGTGCATTATCATTACCTATGCCCTCTCTTCTGAGAGCAAATAGTTCTTTAATTTTTTAGGAACAACATGTCCTAAATTCTGGAGCCTGGGATGGCCAGGAAGCTGGAAGCCCTGATAACAAATGATGCTAGAACTACATCAGTGGCAACAATCAGCACAGTGGATTCCTAGAAACCAGTGGGCCAAACCTTGTGAAACCTACGTAATATTTGTCATTGGTTCAAATAATTAGACTTAGGGTCTAAGAAAAACTCTTGTATTAAAATCACTTTTTAAAGAGTCTCTATAAAATATCTATGAAGAGACCCTGGAGGAAGATCAAAACCTCCCTCCCCCAGGGAAATGGGAAGGAATTCCAGCTTGCCAGCTCCTGGTTCCCACTAAGTAAGGTTTTGGGGCTTTCTGAAGGACTGCTTATTCAGTTGTGTGTTGCAACACTGAACTGCAATATCTATCTTTTATGTCAAAACAAAGAAGTTCTTCATTTTCAGTACTATTCTCCTTCATTAACAAAATGAAGAAAATAGTTCAACATTTGTACTCACAAATATTTCAAAGCAGATCTAACACACAGGCATAGCTTTCCCCTTATTTCAGACCTTGTCCAGACTGAAAAATCACTTTCTAAAACACAGGCTGGGTGTCAACTGTATTCAAAAGTGAAATTTAGATGGTCACAAATTTAGTTCAAGTAGTTGTTGCCTCTGTAAAATCTGGTCCTCACATGTAGAATTTACTAAAGCTTAGTTCTTTACTCTGCAGTTACCTTCAATTTACATTTTAGCATCTTAACATAGGTGATGTAAAGCACCTCTGATGTGAATTTCAGAAGATCTAGGTATGAAAATAAAAAAAGACTAATTGGAAAAATAAGAGGAAACTAACAATACTATGACTGTAGTTTATGTCTAGTATCCATGTCGTTTCTTCTTCAGCTGTCAGGTCACAGCTGGAGTTTCATTATCACACACTGCCCTATGATCTCTTATCCTTCTCCCTTTGAGGGAACAAGTAATTTTGATACCTTCTGGCATGCTGGAAGGCAACACTATCACAGGAGTTCTATTTTTATACTAAACCCAGGCATGTCCTGCTTCTAACTCAATAGCTCAGGCTGGGGAATGTCCATCTATGATAAAAGAAATCCAAAATATTAACTATATTCTTTTGCCTGAGAGAACTGACCCTTTACCAGCCACAACCCTAACTTCCTTGCTCCACAATATTCACCGGCTGAATATGGGTGTGCAGTGTGCTCCTCCCCTCCTGTAGGAGCTGTTCTGCTTGGCTGTAATTAAGTATTTCCACTGTACTTGAATACTTTTACTGTATTTTCATGTTAATTACGTATTTCCTTAGCTCAGAGTGAGAGAAATTCAAGTAGCATTGCCAGAAGTAAGGCTTTCATCTGGGAATGATGATACCTGCATGTGTATCACTTGGTATAAAGGAAGGTGACATAACCACCAAACTAGAGGGGTTTTTACTGTGCAGCAAGCTACTGACGTGTGCAAAGCAGGAACTAAGGCCTTAGGAGATACGGGCGCATCGTGCCCCTTAACAGAAGAGCTAAACCATTAAAGCAGCAGGTGCAGAAGCCAGATCCTCCATGGTACCAGGGGTTTTCACTCTTTTCCACTTTCTGGGCATGTGGTATCACTGCTAGATTTAAACATGGGAAGAGATACACTTCCCATGACACAGACATACATAGCAGGAGAGGGGAAGGAGATACCCCCTGAGAGAAGACCTTATCCAGCACCGAAGTTCCCAGACGTCCGGGAGCTGGGCTGTGTGGGATCTGAGCTGCCCGTCAGGCCCAGCCAGACCTCAGAACCAAAACCAAACCAAAGCCACCGCAGCCCGGAGGCCCACCACCAAGCCGGGGCCTGTCGAGGCGATGCCTGGCCGGACAGCCTCGGTTTCTCCTCACACACAGAAGTCCCCAGCTCCAACAGCCGTCCGCTCCGCTTCTCCTGCCGTACGCCATCTCCCGAGGCGGCTAACAGGGAATGAGTGTCCGCACCAGCCAAACACGACCCTGGGTCCCCCTCGGAGCGCCGCCATCGTCCCCACTCCGTCTCACTCACCCGCTGCGCCTTCTCCCAGACTTGGTTCAGCCTCAACACACGGAACTCCCCGGCTTCCCGCCGCTTGGCTCCGGCGGCCGCCAACCCCTCGTTGGCCTCCCGGGAGTACTTCCCGGCCTGGGAGGCAGCGGCCAGAAGGAGCGCGGCACCGAGAACCACCAGAGCCCGCGGCGCCGCCATGTCGCACTGGGCGGGGAACTACAACTCCCGAGCAGCCGTGCGGCTTCCCCGCCTCAAAGCACCGGGCGGCGGCCGCTGAAATGCGGGTTCAGCGCCCTCGTCGGCAGGGAAAGAGGTGTTTGTATAGGGAAACAGGCTGAAAATCCAGTTTAGGTCGGAAATTTAGTGTCTAGTTTGGGGTCTGGGTAGCGTGGGAAGAATTAGGTTTGAGCTGTTTCTTTTCAACCGGCTTCGTGTCATTCGCTTGAGTGTTTGCTTCATAAAGCGTGGAAATAACGGTGATTGTGGCACTTGTGAGTGGTTTGGTTGGGTTTTTTTTTCTGCAGCCAGTAATAACTACAGCAAACACTTTCCTGCAGCCTGTGTGTCCCTCAGGTGTGTGAGGAAAGGAGGACGTGTTGGGTTTAAACACCACCCCTGTGATCAAATGAAATTGACAGATATTAGCCAAGTGTTCAGGAGTATACAGGAAAATAAAAGGCAGCTCAGGAATCAGGAAAGACAAGAATGGGGACCAGCTCCCCAGTACTCCCTATGAGGCGAAGAAGGTCTTTGTTCTCTCTTGGAGGTGGTACTGGAGGACACCACAGCCCAGGTTAAGACATAGGTTTGGTGATGTGGGGAGAAAGAGGACTTTGAGAAATGTAATAACAAGTAGATTGGGTTGTTATTGAGAGGTGATCTATGGGAATGCTGCTGAGGTTGGTGGTGTATGGTGAGTGCAGCTCTTGGGCAAGAGGCAGCCTCCTTTTGCAGTGCTTCCTCCTCAAGTAGGAAGCCAAAAAGTGCAGTAAACAATGGGAAATCTTTCGAAGAAGTCAAGCTACGTTAAGAAAAAACCCATAATGCCGTGAAAATTACCAGTATTTAGTCCAGGGTTGGTATATATCTGCCCCAGTTTTTAAAAAATCTGCTAAAATTGAATTCTGCTATGAAAGAGGTGCAGGAGAGGCAGAGAACATTGCCTCTGAGTGTTTCTGAAGGGAAGGCAGTGGAGAAATCTGTTCCTTCTCCTGTCTTCTTATCATAAAATCACATAATAATTAGGGTTGGAAAGGACCTTAAGATCATCTGGTTGTAACCCCCTGCCATGGGCAGGGACACCTCACACTAAACCATGCCATCCAAGGCTCTGTCCAACCTGACCTTGGACACTGCCAGGGATGGAGCATTTACAGCCTCCCTGGGCACCCCATTCCAGTGCCTCACCACCCTAACAGGAAAGAACTTCTTCCTTACATCTAACCTGAAAGTCCCATGTTTAAGTTTTGACCCGTTACCCCTTGTCCTATCACTGCAGTCCCTGATGAAGAGTCCCTTTCTAGCATCCTTGATCAGTCCTCTTCTGCATACTGCAAAGCTTGTCTTTGGGTCTTGGGGTCTTTGGCATAGTAGGGTATTTCGGTATTGAGCTTGTTTAGCAAGGCAGTGGTGAGGTTACTTTCCTGAGCCAAGCTGGTAATAGACACAAAAGTTCACTTCATAAATTCACCTCAGATCTCATGTGTGACCTTGAGCAAATTCCAGCATAACTCTGTAGTACTGTCAGCACCAAGCCTTATGCATTATAAATCAGTCCTAAGAAAACAAATAGATTGCCTAAACTATAATGAGATTTCTGAAAACAATGCCCGGAGGATTTTTACTGGACTCTCATTTTTGCCTTGTAAGATCTATAAACAGCTCATTTTTTTCTCCTCCATATTTTCCTTAAATCAGTGAAGAGATTCTCAATCATATGAACCTAGAAGCTGTTACCATAAGGCTAAATTGCAGAGTAAAAGTATTGCAGTGTACTTTGCATTGAAGAGCAATTAAAGTGAGCATTGAATTATACACTGAAGTTGTCTTGGGTTCAGTCATTTTTTCTCCTTCTTAGTAGCTGGTGCAGCGCTGTGTTTTGACTTTAGGCCTGGGAACAGAGCTGATAATGCTCATGTTTTAGTCTGATCAAGGACTTTCTGAGCCTCATGCTCTGCCAGGGAGGAGGGGAAGCCAGGAGAAGCAGAGACAGGACACCTGACCCAAACTGACCAAAGAGGTATTCCATACCACAGCACGTCATGCCCAGGATGTAACTGGGAGTCACCCGGAAGGGCTAATACACTGTGGGGTTGGACAAGGTATCAGTCAGTGCTTGGTTGGGCTGGGGGGCAAGTTACTGGTTGGCTGGTGCTGAGGTGTTGTATTCTCTTCCCTTATTTCTTTTATCATTATTATTATTGGTGGTAGCCGCAGTGATTTGTGCTATACCTTAGTTACTAAACTGTTCTTATCTCAACCCGTGGGAGTTGCATTCTTTTGATTCTCCTCTCCGTCCCTCCGGGAGTAGGGGGAGGGCAAGAAGGGGGGGAGTGAGTGAGCTGCCTGACTGGTTTTAAACCATGACAGAAGTATAGCGAATTGATGAAGGGGAAAGAAGGCCCATCAGCCTTACCCAAATCTTACAGGGGTCTCCACATCAATTTTAGGATTTAGATCTTATTTTAGTGTCATTACAGTGTATATATATGTATTGTAGACAAATTCTGGAACAGACGGCTTCGTCTTGTCTGTTATTTGAAGTATTGTTTGAGTTTTCAGGCTCTTTGCAAATAAATTCAACCTGCTATATAACTTCTTACAGTTCCCACTCTTTTTCTTGTATTAAAAGTAGTTGTGCACAGCTTTATGCATTTGTTTGCTTGCATTTTTGAGCTACACTGGGAAAAAAAGCTTAGAAATTGGTAAGGGATGATTTGCCATTAATTTGCTTACAGTGGCTTGCTGGATCTCAGTCTCCAGGGCTCTTTACATCTGTGTCAAGTGACCACTGCTTGATATTCTTCTATATGTCCTGGCCCAAGTGCTTCACTCCCAGGTGTAAAAAGACAAAATAACTGTATGGAGTTCTGTGTAGAGACTTTGAATTTATGTTGGTGTTGATGAGACTAAACTCATAAGAGTGTGCCTTAATGTAAATAAGAAACAAGCAGTGGGAGGTAATGGGAAATCAACTCCATTGTTTCCTATGCACTTTTTTTGTCAAATGACAGGCTAGGAAAATGTTGGCTTTTCAGCCTGGAGAAGAGAAGCTGCATGGAGACCTCATAGCAGCCTTCCAATGTCTGAAGAGGGCCTACAAGAATGCTGGAGAAGGACTTTTCATTAGGGACTGTGCGATTGGAGAAAGGGTAATGGGTTCAAACTTAAACAGGGGAAATTGAGGTTATATACAAATATATTTACTATGACAGTAGTGAGGCACTGGAACAGGTTGCCCAAGGAAGTTGTGAATGCTCCATCCCTGGCAGTGTTCAAGGCCAGGTTGGATGGGGCCTTGAGTGGCACAGTGTAGTGGAAGGTGTCCCTGCCCTTGGCAGAGTGATTGGAACTAGATGATCTTTAAGGTTCCTACCAACCCAAACCGTTCCATGTTTCTATTAGATTCTCCCTTCATTTTTCCTTAGCATGGCTGAAAAACAGCTCAGCTGGATCCTGAAGACTGTGCCAAAAGTGATATAAACGATGGAAGTGTTAAGCTATTTTGGACTCTTGTTTGCATTGGTCCAGACGGCTGTAGCTGAGTTGAGGAATAATCACTTTGTGTATATTCATTATCCCTATTAAAAGAGAAGCATTAAGAAAACACTATGTAGAGCACATTCAGAAGTCTCTTTCTGCCCTTTGCTCACTTGAAAAACAAAATTAGAGAAATTTGGAATGAGGATGACATTACAAAGCAGCAAAAAGATCAGAGAAAATCTTAGAAGAAAGATGGACGTCTAATGGCATTTATGGAACAGTGCATGGTAGAATACAGTGGTAGAATAAAAGACTGAAGCTAATGCTCAGAGGCTTGAATGTGATTTAAACTCATTTCTGAGCACAGTTTCAGGGGATCTTTTTCTTTAAGAGGCAACGTAAGAGCTGGACCAGCTGCTTCTGGCTTCTGTTTTACCAGAATTAGTTCACCATTGAATTTGCACCTTCACGTACTATATATACATCTACAATTTTTTTCAAGTGATAGAAGCTGACCAGCATTTCAAATACTGGGTTTCAGGGCTCTGGAAATGAGAGCGGTTGTGGCCTTCTCATCTCCATCTTCTAACTCAGAAATGTGGTCTAGCAGCCTCTGACTGACCTTTGCTGAGGTAATATAATAAATAGATCCTTTTGAGTTTATCTAGATAGAACAAGTGTGTCCAGACTATAAAAGCAATAATAATTGGTTCTTGGCTATAATATAGATGTGTATTTATAGTCATATTTAGAAAGAAACACTACATAACTCAGGAGTTTTGAGAATGACAAGCAATTATGAATCCTAAATTTCTTGATTAAGAATAGCTATCAGGAACCTATTATATCTGTGCTATAACTATGCTTTTTCTCATTTAAAAGAAGATTAATCAAGATCCAGCACTCTTTAGTGCTTTAGTAAATTAAACGCATCATCGCAGATATCTTGAACAGGATAGTCAAAGGCTGTCTTGATCTTCTCTTTCCATTTGGAAGAAAAGCAGTAGTATAATGTCTTGCTAAAGAATGTAACACCAAACAAGAAAAATAATTTCAGGTACTATATAATTCAGAAGTTCCCCCAGTGACAGATTTCTGTACAGTTCTGCTCTTGTGTATGAAGTCTAGCATTTTTTACTTCTGGATTTTGGGGAGGGCTTTTTAGCAGTCATCCTTATATCTGTCTCCAGGATTCTCTGCATGGGTAACTTTAAGTTCCCTGTCCAAGGAAGCCTACATAATGTGTCCTTTTCCAGCATCAGAAGTTTTAGGTTCTGTTTTGTTCCAAGTCTGAATCATAGGTTTTGTTTGTTTTTGTTTTGTTTTGGGATTTTTTTTGTAATAATTTTGACCATTTAAATTACATTAAGCTGTGTAACTGCTTTCTTTTCCTGAATAGCTTCTTTATATTTGTTGGATATAATTCGGTGCATTCAAGCCGAAAGTTAAACAATGCCAAAGTGAAGAACATGAATTGCATAATGTGCTGAAAAGGTGAACTGGTGAAATGTTTGTTACTGCATTAGCTTCTCTTTAATAGGAATTACTGGAATGTCAAAGAGAACTAACGAGACTGAAATTTATTTTTAAATATGTACTTTCATAAAGTGGAACCTTTTTTTTATGCATTTAATTTTACTGAAAGAAAAAAAAGCAAGTGTTGGTACAATATTACTGTAAAACATCTCTATAACGTAATGAACAGCTTTCTGTTGCCATTGTCTTACTAAAATTACTTCCTTAGCTAAACTGTTTAGGGCTGATGCTAAAGAGAAGAGCATGAAAACCAGCTCATGAATTCTGCCCTTCTAGAAATTATCTTTGTACCTAATTAAAGGGGACCTTGACTTGTTTGGGGAAGAAACAAAATTCTCACTGGCATTCTTAGCTGTGTAGTCAGTGCTCCTGACTATAGCTCTAGATGACTTCTGGCTGCACTGATAATTCCATCTTTCTTTTTTATCCAAGGTTTTTATAGGCTCACTTTTTCTTCATAAATGCAGTGGGGATAGTAAAGATTTTCTAGGTGGAATCTTGAATAGTTTCAATGAGAGAGAGTTTACAAACTGAATAAATTCAAAATTTGAAATGCGAGGTGATTTCTCAAGCACTCAGAATCCAGAAACCATGTCTTTGTTTTATAATCCTGGTACCATCGTGGACTTTATTGTTGTAAGAGTACTTGAATTTTTAATATTAGGTATATATGTATTTTAGTAGACTTTGGGCTTTAAATTAGTATAAAATATACAATTAAAGTAAAATAAACAATCAAGTTGCTAACAGGTATCTTACCTGCCAGCGTCATGCAGCTCCTCTCTGAGATGAAGCCCATCCGTGCAACTCATGGCAGGGTATAGTTCAATAAAAAATGCAGGAGCAGTTTAATGAAACAGAATATGAAATAGCAAGAAGGATTCTGAAAAAATGCCAAGTGCCATGTCCTTGAATACAATATTTAAGTACTGATTTTTTTCTCTTATAAAACTATTACAAATAGTTAATTGTATCTGTGTTCCTCCTGAATGATCTTTTCTGGCATTCATCAATGCAGTGTGGAAACAAACCTGACAGATACTCTCCTTTACATCAGTTTTCTGTCAGAGTGTATCCTTTTTTTTTGTAGGGATTTAGTTAAGGACTCTTTAAAAGTATTGTTGCAATGTAACTTGATCCCTGTTTCTCCCACAAAAATATAGTACAGCAATCCTGATTGCTTCTAGGCTGCTGATTTTCACTGTGAGATGTGACAAGAGGAGGTCTTCTGTATTGAGCAAGTGTGTAAGTGTGTTCATATTTGGCTGTGCAGCCACCTTGAATCGTTTATGCCTCTTGCTTCTCTGCCTCTTGTACTTCTTTATCCTTTTCCCATCCAGCTTTGTCTGTGTCGTTCGTTTTCATACCTTCATGATCTTCCTTCATTTTTAGTGTTCACAACAACTTTCTAAGTGTACCTGCATAATACATGCTTACACCCCTTTGTTTTCCTTCCATTCCTCCTCCATTGTTTATATAACTTTCAAACTACCAAGCAGTAGCTGTACCTTTCAAAATTTATTGGAACTTCTGTCACTCTTTTCCTAAATGTGCAAGGAGAGTTGTATATCACAGTTCTGCATTATTCCAGTGTGGCACAGTATCTTTTTTATATATGTTGAGACATAGAGAAAACATTTTATCTTCTGGTTTATTTGTTATCAGAACTCTTGAAAAGAAGCAGAATGTTTTTCAAGTTACTGTTGTATGGAAGACTGAATGTTTGGTGAGCATCCCTCAAGAGATGGCTTGGTGTTTTAGAGTATTATAAGCTCAGGCATGAATACTTGAGAATATAAAGGGAGTAGTTCTCATTCTCAGTGCTGTTCCTGAAATTTCAGCTGTTTAGGCAGAAAAACGGTCATAGGAGTTGTGGAAAACTGAGCCAAATAAACAGATGGGATCTTCTAGTCCAGCTGGAAGAACTACTCTTCTGTGCCAGGTTCAAATAGAGGATTTCAGAGCTAGAAAAAAATCTACAGAGAAATTCCTCAAGAAGGGAGAGTCTGCAGTTAAGTTAGGAATTAACTAGCCAAACACTGATTTCAGGGTATTTTGTTATCCTTATTGGCTATGAGGCATTCAAATATAAAAAGTTAAGGAGCAGTGGCTGAACATCTGCTCAGGGGGAATGAACTCAAAAGGACAGTAATTGTAGTGGGAGATAAGGCCACACCAGTCTCAAGAATGAAAGCACTTCTCATCACTTTCTTAGCTTTCAGTTATATGACTGCCTGAAAAATAACTTGTTAGTCAGAAGACTTGCTTCTTGCCAGATATAAGCACTATCCAAGTAGAGAAGTGCTGTGAAGAAGAGTTATACAACAGAGGAAGAAGTACTGAGCTTATAAGGTAAATGGTGAGTGTGAGCTATGGGTGGGATGATGAAGTTACTTTCTTTGCTATAGTCTGGGTCAAAAAGTGAGAACACATCTGCACTAGATGTAGCATCCTGCTGTCGTACCTAGTTGTGTCAGTTGGATTCTGGTGGTTCTGCAAAGTTGACTACCAACAAGAAAAGAAATCAGTGTAATTTTCAAGAAAATTGTTTTCTGGGGAATAGCGGTTAAATGAAAATACTGGTTCTGTATAATGTTAAATTTAATATAACTAATATTGAGCATTAGAGATGACAAATCTACCAGCCAAAAATATAAATAAATGGAATTCTAAATGCAAGCCACTTAATAATTTCTATTTGTTTTTCCTATATAGCATCCAAAAAACCCCAAACAACCTTGATCAGAAAAGATGAAAAAATAAAGTGAACAATCAAAAATCTGCTGCACTTGGGAGTGAGTAGCAAAATCCATATGTGCCTGTTTGCTGACACAGGATTAGGAAGAAGGTACACAAGAGGAAATGGAGGATGTCTTCAGGGTTCCCAGAAGAAATCCAAATTATGTATGTATGTATGTATGTATGTAAGTATCTATCTACCTACCTATCTTCACTTGTGCTAAAGGACATGTTGCTGAGAGATGCAGCCAGTGAACATTCTTGCTGAAGACAGCAATGGAGCTTGAGCTGGAAAAAGGCTGTTGTTTTTATACTTCCATTTAAAAGACACTGGTGATCTGCTCAATTAAATCAAATTATAGCAAGCCTAATTTCTTCAGTGTTGTCCTAACTGTCAGGTATCTGTAAACATTTATTACACACAACTAATGAACAAGTGAGAAGTATTCTTTGTCATGTTGTTGATAAAACCTTTTCAAATATCCTCCTTCCATCCAGGCTGCAATTCTGTATGCTTGGTCGGCACAAAATGTGCTCGGAAGGGAAGCTTAGGAAAAATCCTTTTCAGATATTTTCAGGGAGAATGAGGATTACGCCTTATCCTGACTGCCCTCTATATGTACCCAGGGTATGTAGCCCTCACTTTGCATCACATTCTATAGGCTCTTCTGAAATCTAGAGCTAAGCAAGTGCTGTTTCTCTTGAGATGATAATTAAAGTTCATTGATCAGAAGGAAATACTGTTCAGCAAGGAAAATTTGCTGTCAATACTTACCTGAAAGTAAAGTTGGTTTTATTTTAATCAGAAAAAAAATCATATTATGGAGCGTGTATTTAATGCATCCCAGTGCATTGAAAAAATATGGCTATGGCTGAGTAAGTTAGCTATGGCCCAGGATTCCTATTCATCCTCTGTTTTGGGATGTATGTTGTCCAGAAACAACTTAAAATGCTTTTGAGTAGATGCATTCCTTAATGTTCTCTGTCTGCGTGGATTATTTGCAAGTGGTTTCTCCAACTTGAATGGATAATATAGAAATCCTGGTGTAGGAAATACTGGAATGTGTATTAATTGAAGTGAGACTCAATTAAAGCTACACGTTATCTTGGATTTGATTCAGACCTATTAAAGTTCACAGGGGACTTTCTCCCGATTGTTGCACCCTAAAAATGATATAATTCAGCTCTAGAAAATGGGTCTTTGCCATGTTTTGGGTTTGGGTTTTTTTTTTCAATTAGGGTTAGTGATAATATTCTTCTTTTACTGTATCAGGGATATTGGTCACATGGGAATATTTCTGTTCCATGCCTCAGAAGAGCCATGACGGTTGGACATGCATAGTCCTGATTAAAATTCTATCACCATAATAACTTTTAATATTCTATTTAAATTTGTGGCAGCTCTGGAAGTGTCTATCAGAAAAAGACCATCTGTGGGAAAGAAGAAGTAAGTCATTCTCGCACTGCATAGCTGGCTATCATAAAAGAATGATAGAGATGCGTACCCTTATTTCTCCAGGCTTGACAGCTGGACAGAAAAGCTGAGTCATATTAACTGGCTGTTGGCAGGTAGAACAGATTGGGTCAAACACATTCCGTGGAATATGTCAAGTGCACTTAATCTTCACAGAAACTGTAACCAGATTTTCAACTGCACTTTTTGACATAATGGTGAAGAATTTAGACTGCTTTAAGCTACGTTCATCCTGTCATTTATATATAGAAATCCTTTATTGCAACAGTTTTCTCTCAGGTGTGTCTCTGATCCAATATTTAAGACGTTTTTATTATCTCCAAGTTTTTTACCCATGAAGAAGTTGTAATTGGTTAAGCCGTACTGTTTGGCTAAGTTATGGGGATTTCAGAGAATACTTTATATATTCAGAGGTGGGACATTCTCTTCTGCTTTGCACATCAATTTTGTTTGCTAGGGACTTACGGTTTTGCCATGGAGGGCTTCATGTCAGTCCCTGACCTACACCACAGACTGTTTATGATTCTGTGTGTCTCTGCAGACTTGCATTATGTCTGACTAAATGACTAAGGATTTGATCCAAAAGACATTCAAGTCAAAGAGAATTTGTTTACTTACACGGATTTTGGTTAAGGTCTGAAAGGTTCAGGCCTGCTCCCAGTGAAGGGATAGAAAGTTGTCTTTTAGTCTGTGAGCAGACATGATATGGGTTTACTGTTGAATTAATAAAAAAATGTAAATCTAAAGTAGAAGAGTACTGATTAATTGAAAGTGCACAGGAAGAAATGCTGTCACTGTTAAACATGACCACTGAAGATGAGTGTAGATAGTCATGATTTCTGCTGTAACATCATCAGGAGAAATTTAAGGAACCACAGGGACTGGCATCACATCTACTGCTTACTCATTCTGTTCATCTACTATGCCATAAACCCAGCTTTTGATATAGGTTTTGGAGTGGTTCCTTTGCAAAACATTGCCTAGAATATCTGAGGTTGTGCATGAGAAACAAAGAAATAAAGGGGAACCCTCCCAAGAGCTGTTTCTTCAGAATGGTCTTTGGCCACAGGAGGGCAATACTGTTCTATAATAAATTTGACATGCTTTATTTGCTGAAAATCTGGTTTGCAAACACACCTGAGGGGGGGAACAGGGTTGATCATGTTTAACAGTCATCAAAGTCCTATTGATTAAAAAGTGGATTTACGCCTTTAGCTATGTTTGCAGGTGTTGACCAGTGAGTCCTCCCAACACTGCTGTGAATACAATTCCGCTTTTCAGAAAAGCAAATTGCAGCGCAGAAACTGAGAGCTGTGATGAGATTGTCCTGCCATTTCAAACTGAGGTAAGGAGAGCTTAAACTGAAAATGGTGAGAGTCTGAGGGTGTGTGACTTACTAATACTGGTTGGAGTATCTGGCTGGGAAGGGTGGGTCTTATTTTTCTTTTCTTACTTAAGAAAGTTTCTGTATATTTCCCCTGTGGCTGAGGGCATGTTCTTCTATACAAGGACCCACACATAGGAGCAGGACTCTTAACTCAATAGGTTATTGATTCATGCTCTCATTCTTAGCTGGTCAGATAAATCTTTCCTGGAGAGCCCTGCAGGGTGCTTAGAAGATTCTCCAGAGAAGTATTTGGGTTTTGAATCCCCAAAGCAGATGAGACTGTTCAGTGTGCTTTCTGTGGCTCCTAGGTGAATAAGAGCTATCACTGTTGGGTCTTCTGAAAACAAATGGAAGCTTCACTGTTGTCTCTGTGAAGATTAACCTGCTAGGAGTACTTTGAGACTAGTGGATTTAACCTTTAAAGGGAGAGGAATACTTGATTTACACAGACTGCGAATTTAAGCATGAGAATGGTGGTGGGCACCATTGCAAATGTATGTTTGAGTACTTTATACATCACTTAGCATACTTCAAGTATATATGCATTAATATGTAAGTAATCTGTGGAGTCTGGGTATCTCCTGGAGACAGGTGAACTCCCCCAAAAAATAGAAAATGAAGCTTTCTAAGGGCCATCTCTCTCATCTGCATTATTAGTATACTGAGAATGGTCTTCAAGAAAAATTGAAATAATGTTTAAAGTTAGAAAGGCATATTTATGAAAGGTAGATTGCTAACTTGCAACTAACCTTTGAGGTCAACTGGAAATGAAAATGTTTCAGAGAACAAATACTGCTAAGCTGCTGCCCTTTTAGCTTCTATTTCTAAATAAAGGCTCAAAGAGGTCCCCTTCTGAAAGACTGAAGGTCTTAAAGACCTTCTGAGTGGTGTTTTCAGTCTGTAGATCAGACACTATTTCTGATGGGCCTGCAAATGCTTGGTATGGGCCTGCAAATGCTGAGACCCTTGTCTCTACCTTTCCTTTAGAAGTTGCTATACTTCTACTGAATGTATTTAGAGAAAGAAAGAGCATTTGTGTCAGGTATGTTTTAAATGTCAGTTCATTTATTTTATGCTTTACTTTTTAAAGTGTGTTTTCAGCTTCATAATCTGGGACATAATCTTTTCTTTTGCAAGAATAAGTTTTACTGCTTTTATTATTAAACTTGTCTAAGGGGAGCTGAGACAAATCTGAGCTTCAAGGTTCTTGCATTGGCAAGGAGGTAAGGAAGCAAGTCCTTTGCAGTGCTTGTAAACCAAACTTGCAATTATCGCCTTCCAAACTACTGGAGTAATTCTGGGAGTTTATATCTTCAAGTACTCAGAGAAGAAGAGGAATTCCTTGTTGTAATCTGCAGCCCATGCCTCTGACAAAGGGCAGGCAATGATGATACAAATTATGATGTGATTAATTTTTCTCAGCTGAGTAAAGGATTTTTTTTGGCGGGGAGAGGGAAACATAAATTTTGCAATAAGATGCTTAGGTAAGACTCTATTTAAGTTTACACATAATTTAATTTGTACGTATAGATAAAACGTGTGGAGCCAGTCACCCAAGCCTGGTGCAGTTGTGTATGTACTTAGGTAAATTCCTTTCTCACTTTACACCGTAGTCACTGTTTCTAACTGAAGCACTACATTCCAAATCGCATACTTGGCTTTGATGTCTTATCCCTAAATATTGAAGAAGAATTAGATTAATACTTCTTTGAGTCTTTGATTGTCAGTTTTCTAACACTTAAAATATGTAAAAATGGTTAAAGATTATTCCGATTGTACTTCCTGAGGTATTTTCCTATACTCTGCCACACATGGTGTATTCCTACACATATTTTCTGTCACAATTAAGTCACTCAGCAGAAGTCATGAGTACTCAAACGTCAACAGATGTAAGAGAAATGTCCCTTGTAATGAAATCTGTTAATAGCCTCATGCTATATAAATCTGTACAATAGCCTTATGAAGAAGACAAGATATACTTCCTTTGTGACCTTTAGGACAAATCAGCCAAACCAACAAAATACAGAAAATAATGCCCTGCATGGGAGTGAAGAAGGTGGCCAAGCATTGGTAGAACTTTTCTGCTGATGTTTATAATTTTCTTCTGCATTTTAAGTAATTCACAGTGATTAGTACTTCAGATGCTTATTTCTGTCCCGTTTCTGAAAGTTAGTAGACAAGCCCAACTTTTTTAGTTCATTTTAGAGTCATAGAATCAGATAATATGTTTGGGTTGGAAAAGACCTTTAAAGGTCATTCAGTTCCAGCCTCTCTGCCATGGTCAGAGACATCTCCCACTACACCAGGTTGCCGAAGAACCTGTCCAACCTAGACTTGAACTCTGCCAGGGTTGGAGCATTTATTCTTTTTCTTTAATATAGTCAACCTCTTTTTCTGGTTAATCATAGAAATACTTGCAGTTTCTTTATTCACTGGCTTAGGGGCTAGAACAGACCATCAGGGTTGGCTCATCTGACCTCTTGTACAAGCCAGACCAGAGAACCCAACTCCATAATCCCAGCATAAATTCTTCTTGAGACAGGAAATGTGGCTTTTAGAAAGACACTACATTTTGTTTCAGACTTCCAATGACAAACTCACTATATTATCTGGTAAGTCTAATTGCCTTCACTTAAAAATTGCTTGTCTAGCCTGGATGTAATTAACATCAACTGGCTGGGTATGTCTGTGTAGTTGCTCAAGAAAGAGTATCTTAGAATAGCAGCAAAGAAAAACTTTCTTGCGTCTCTTGTACCTGATGCCTTTAGCAGTCTGCCAGAACTGTTCACAGATATTTTTGGTCTAAGCTTGGAAAAAACACACACAGGTATTTGGGACAGAAGAATTAGCATTCACAAAGGCTAACTTTAGCCAAAAGAGTCCAAGTATCCCTCTGTCAGCAATGAAAAGAGAAAATGGTACTTGCAGACACCCAAGCTGGAATATTTAAAGGTAGGCTTCTGATTACCCTGGGCCCTGAAGGTCCCTCTATAAATATCCTTTAGGGTCCACATTGTACACTTATTTTCTGAGAGGTTTCATTATGTTCCCTTTTTCTTTAGTGGCCCTTTGGCTACATGTCGGGGACTGAAGGAAATATACTTCAAGAAAGAAAGGCTTGACTTTTCTTGAAGAATCTGTCAATAAACACAAAAACATTTAAACCTGAATTAAGGGTAGTTTTCTTGCCTCTGCTAGATGAATTACTAGCTGAAGAGTGTTAGGTGATTGTTTACTCTTGTAGGTGAAAGAATAATTGTACTGCTGTAGGTCAATGACCTTTAAAGTCTCTAATAATAAAATTACACAAACTAAAATCACCTCTGACCTCAGTCCAGAGAGATGGTGTGTATTCTTTGTTAAGGCTGTTGTTCTTAGTGAATATTTTTATCCTGTTTTCAGAGTTTTATTGTCATGTTTGGTTTTGGTTTATGCTTTCGTATCCTTTGGTGATGAAAAAGCACATTGTGCGTGGGACTGTTCCTGAGTCTAAAAACATGATAGCACTTTGTCACTTTTCACATACACAAGCCACAATGATATTTAATCTGGAGAAAAGTATTGTTTGTGACCATTGGGGCATATGAATTACAGATTTTTATTGATACAAAGAAGAGTGTGCTTTATTCAGTCAGCTGTTCAACACTGCATCGACTTAAGAGACAAGACTGAATTTCAACAACATGTCGGGCAAGTACTAGAGGGGCATGATTTTCTTTTTCTCTTAGCCTTTCCAGAACTGCTGATATTTTTATCTTGACTACAGTTGTCAGTTTAAAGGATGAACCTTTTGTGATTGGAGCCCTCTAACGTTAGGCAAATTGGTCAGGCCCACTATTTATTTGTGGCTCCTAGGTCCTTCTACAAAAAAGATTCTAACAGGAAGCTCCAAGGCTGTAGAGGTGCTCAACTCTGTACTCTTTTGCAATTGATTTTTTTTCAGCTGTTACTATCATCACAAGATGTAGCTAATGGATCCAACACCGTGTCAAAGATACTCCTTTGTGATATACTGCAATAAGGGGTGCTTATTTCTGTTTGTTAGTTAGTTGTTCCATTGGGAAAAAAAAAAAAAAAAGCAAAAAGCTGCTTAAGTTTTTAATCCTATTACACGGTATTCCAAAAGGTCAAGTTACTGTTCTTTTTAAATACAATTTAATTGAAAATGGACAGTAGCCTGCATCTTCAGGCGTAATGAGGCAGGCTATTGATATGCACCATGTGTCCCTGATTAAAATCAGAAGGCTAGGAATGTTCAGCCAATTAGGCAATTTGTGAGACAGTGGCCCGATTTGTTCGGGACTGTGGAGAAGCAGGTACGCAGAAATATACTTTGTGTGTTCCCTGTAAACAAAAATAAGAAAGTACAAGGTGCTGAATGATGGCCAGGCTGATAAAGCCAATTAATTGGCTGAAGTCTCTTGTTGCTTTTTGTTTGTCCCCCTAGAAAGACTTATCTACAGTAGAAATCTACAGTGTATTTAAATAAATAAATACAGAATATTGTCTCCATGAAGCAAAGAACTATTCATCTGACATTAGGATTTTGCAAAGAACAGTTTCAGAGCATGGATGAAAAATAAAGACCCAAAGACGGTGGTGTAGTTCAAAATTATCCATAAAATTCACTTACTTACAGCTGTGCTGATACAGACAAGAAATTCCTGTTGTTGCTCTCTGTTGTTTGTTTTCTGGCTGTGCTGCATATGGTGAGTTTTCTCCAAATCAGTTGTGTGCTGCAGACAAGGAATAGCATTTACTCATTTTACCTTACTGAAAATAAGCAAAAAGGGGCAAAGTTAGGTCTTCACAAGAACATAATATAAATATATATTTCATGATTAAATGTGCTGCAGGATCTCCAAGAACATTAAGTTGTTCTCTAGAGACAAACAGAAAGTTCAGAAATGTGAGGGTTGTGTGCCCAGGGAAAACACAAAGTCCTCCAAGCACAAGCAGTTTAGGAAGGTGTCTATGTCATATCCAGTGATCATGTTTGGCTTTATTGACAACTGAATTATTGCTTTGAGACATTAATGCAAAGACCAAAACCCAAGAGTATAGTTTAACATCTGGAAAAATCTTTTAATTTTTTATTATGAGTGTAGCAGTTTCTGAACACCTCATTTTGCAAGTCTGTCTAAGAGTAGGTGTCATCACCTAATACTGTGGTTAAAAGAATGACATTTAGAGATGGAAAAATGTGGCTTTCATGACAAATGGGCTTTTGGGTCATCTTAAGCAGGAACACATTAGCTGTGGAAGATGTTTACAGCCACAGACAAATAAGTCCATACCTTTCAAGTTCCAGTTTTGTCTTTCTGGCTTATCAGAAATTACAGCTTGTACAGACCCTTATGAAGTACAAAGACACACCCAGTGAAGTAGTAGTATTTTGCAAGAATATGCCTGATCTTGAATCTACCCAAAGAAAGAAAACCTCTCAATAGGTTTGAAACATCAAAATTACCTGTTTTAATAAATGGATTTCATTAGTGAAGAAGGAAATGTTTAATTAGCTCTACTCTAGGAGACACATGGGGGATGTTCATCAGATTTCCAGATTTGTTAGAGCTGCAGTTGTTTCTTAACCAAAGAAAATACGGAGACTGGCAAGTAAAGATGGGATAGCTAGCAATGCACTGTCATCCATGAAAAAGAAATACCACACTGCAGAGGCTTTAACTGAAAACCCTCACATAATTTGCTTAGCTGGTTTACAAAACATGCTTCACAGCTCCTGAGTGTTTGAAAAACAGGTTGGTTTAATCATGGACTCAGGGGCTTTATTCACAAGAGCAGGGGAATTAAAGTTCAGCTACTTTGTGGTTAATCCGAAGGTGACTGGTATTGAGGTGCCTAAGAGATAGTTACTGAAGGCGATGAGGGTTTTTTGGCAGCCTGGTGCCTATTCATTGTATTTGTGCTGAACAAGGAAGCAACTGGAACACTAAAATAAAAACCATGAATCATTCAGGGAATGTATCAAGTCAGAATTAAAGAGTTTTATTTATTTTGCCAGCCAAAATTTTGGTAGAAAGTGTGATTCTTATAATGAATGCAACTGCACAGTAGAGCCTGACAATACCTATTGGGTATTTGTATTGCTAGTAGGGGCAGCAAATATAGGAACATTTACCTATGTCCCAGTCTTGTCCAACAAAAGTCATCTGCAGTCATTTGCCATCTGAGCAGAGGATTGTGTGGCTTTACTTCAGCTAGCTG